ACAACTAGGGGATCTGGACAGAGGCAAACCAGCCTGCCAGCGAGCTGGAAATGCTATCAAAGGACAAAATTCCATTTGCATAAAGGGCAGAAGAGGAAAATCTCTTGCTTTTAGTGGCCCCATCAACAGTTTTTCTTCTGCATTTTCTTATGTGCCAGTACTTGCCTTCAAATCCAGCAAATACAGCTTACCAGCGAAGCAAATGAGATACTATGGGTCTGCTGTTACATCCACCATGCAGACTACAAGAAACACCAGGGATATTTGAAATGCGACTGATTGGCCTATCATGGAATATAAACTCTTTACCACACAAACACCTTGCTGAAATCAGCACCAAATGGAAGTGTTTTGTTTCAGTCAAGAAAAAGCCCATGAATGAGTGCTTGCTGAATTCTCTTGGGACCTTGAATTCCTGCTGAAGATATCAAGCACCATTATCAATACACAGAGAATGGCAAGACATGAATCTTCATTCCAAGTGATGCTGCCCAGTATGTCAAAAACTTATCTTAAGGCACACCCAATCACAGTAAGCAGGACTGGCCTCTACCAGGCAAGGTCCTAAACCTGGGGAATTAGCCAAGGAAGATCCTTACCTCTGTTATTCTAAGCCACAGCTTTAGATCTTTTACATTGGCAAAAATTTTTATTTCTGGGTCAGGCTAAAATACAACCTGTCAGCCAGATGCTGCAATCTGTGAGCAGCAAATACACATTCTGAGTGCCAACCTTTTGCAAAAAGCATTTTAATGAGATTTAAATAAAAAAGTCAGCAAATGTTAAAATTCAGTCACATGAAACCAACTGCACCCAGCAGACTGATAGAACAAAGAAAAAACACTGCATTTTCTTTCCAACATTTTGGTTTATAAGCATAACCTGGTTGTAACTTCTGGGGACTTCCTAAATGTTTCCTTGGTTTTCCTACCAATTCTTTAACAACACATACCAAGAAATTGGATATGCTCTACATATTGTATTAATTGTACGTAGAAGATTCTGCCACTATAAACTGGTTTTCACATATAGACGTTTCAAAAACTTAAAACATGGTTCTGCTTTGCAGGAAAATGGGCTGTCTATAAAGTTTTGAGGTTTTTATTTAGCTTTTTGGAAATTCCAAATCATAATATTTAGAGGTGTTCATAAGCTTGGTCACTGCACACGACAAAGCCAAGCTTTGACAGTGTGGAAACCATGAACAAAAATGCTTTGGTCTTCTGCAGAGCGTGTTAAATCACTAGTAGGATATTTTCCAATTATTTTACAGAAATTGTACAGACTTTAAGTTAAGATGCTTAAATGTCATAAATCAATCATACCAGCACCATTTGTGCCACTGTAGTAAAGATTACATCAGTGTTTCCATTATAAAAACCCTATTTTTCTAAATCAGCCCTAAAAACTGGCTCCAGCCTGAAGTTTGGCAACCGAAGTCACCACTTGGGAGTAATTCTTCTAACCATATTTTTCTTTAATGGATTGGCTTTTCAAGCTACAAAATAGTCCTGAAAAAGAAAATTAGTGGTTTCAAATTTTGGTAAATTTCTATCCCTCAAAAACATTGTTTTAAAACCTGATAATTTTGCATGTTATAAATCTGCAATGTAGACTGCTGCCTTTGGGTAATTTGGCCATAAGCGGTGGATAAAAATCACCAACTTATTTAATTTAAAAATAAATGCAATTTTCCATGAAAACTTTTAAGCCAATAAAACTTTCAGAAACTACTTTCTATAGCAAGATGCAGTAGACATTGCATGAGGAAGCCTTTATGATTAACTTATGCAGCAGATATTCCATACATTTTAATTTTCATGGTAAGAGGTATGTAATACTGGATTTTTGATCAAATCCGGTCATATTCGAGACAATTCTGCCCTTTGGCAAGACAGATCCACCTGTGAACTTGACACACTCCCTAACAGGTCAGTGTAAGCACAGAAAAAGAATAAATACTCTGATACCACTAGAGCCACAGAACTCTTTAGGATGTATTATTTAAAAAACTTTATTATGAAATATCAATTCAACCTACATCTAACAGTTAATTTTTCTCATGCATTTTAAGTTATAAGAATCATCAATTAGGTTTGAAACTAGTTTAATTCTAGCATTCTAGAAAGACTTTCAGATATTGGCCAACTTCCATAAGACACCTCCAACCAACACCACGAACATGATTTGATCTTCAGGCTCTCAAAAGCTTTCTGATGGACATAGGCTCAGCAAAAAAGGAATTACAAGCCCAGTCCCATCCACTGCCTGTCAGCAAAACTCGCCAACAGCCCTGATAAGCTTTGGACTGAATCCTCCAGGCCGTCTGAATTCCTAGTAAATTTTTTCCTAATTCATACTCAGGGAAGAAAAAAGGTTTGGAAAGCTGTTTTCATAAGTTCTGAGAAACTTAGCAGCTCATATGCTTTTTGTGAAAAGTCATTTTAAATATATAATCATTGCTAAATTATAGCATTAGTTGCTTGAGGGGAGGATGTCTGGTTTATATTTAGGCCTTATGTCACCAGTGCCAATTTTTATTACTACACATCTTGGCTTTTGTCAGTTTGCTGCAGAGCTGTATTTTCTTTTCTCAAAACAGCTATTTGCCATGAAAAAACATTAAAGATATTTGCCCTCTTCCCCACACCATTTTGTGATATCAAGTTGCTGCACAGTCATACAATCTATATCATGAAAGTTATCACCTAAATATTTAACATGCTTTCAAGGAGACAAGAGAAAAATACAGATACTGCTGTCCATAAAGTACATTCACAGAAAGCCCTTGGCGATTTTTTCACCCCCATCATGTGCAGAGGTACAATAAATATAAAAAGTAAGACAACAGAGAAAGCCAAAAGGATGAAGAAAAGACTGATACAATTAGTACAGAGAGAGATGCTATGCTTATTAGTTTTGGTGTTTCATTAGCAGATATTGTAATTGTTGTTTTATATTTGCTTTGTAATCAACGTATATTCTTTTGCATTAAAAAAAAAACAAACAAAACCCCACAACAAAATCCTGTTCGGTGCAATATCTATGACATGCATTTGGATGTCATAGATGGATGTCAACCTAAATACTTCATTTGAAAATTCTATCTAGGACGACCAAGTGTTTGGTGAGAAACAGAGAACAGAAAATGGCACTGCAGGAAATCTGCTGTAAAATATTGGCATTATAAAGAGAGATGATGAGATAGATTAACACTGGTCTTCAGCCATGTAACACTCCTGCACTGGCTTAGAACCAATCTAAGTCTGAGTGTGAAGCTGTGCACATTTTAAGACTCAGCAAGGCACCTTCTAAGCAGTGCTGGCTGTGCAATAGGTGCCAGCCCCCTCACTGAAACATGCACAAGCCTAGGACTCAAACCACTGTCTTGGCTGAGATGTAAAAATCATGCTCGTTCATTTTTTCATTCTGTTTTTTGTTAAACAGTGCTAGTGATGGGTTCCCAGTCAAATTTCAAACCATAATTATATGATATGTGCTACCTATCAAAATTATACAATTTCAGCTGTATGTGAATATCTGTTCTACCCTATGCAGAAATAATCCCACTCACCACTTCATATATAAAAGTCACCTGTGCTGCTTTGGAAACAAAGTTACAATTCTTTATTTTCTGACCAGCCCTTGTGAAAATATTGTATGTAGGGAAATTACTGTCGTATTCCACCATTAACTGCTTGTACTTCTCTGCTCTCTAAAGCAATCTGTCCACATCAGGCTTTAAGCAAGGCTGGTAGGTAGCATTGTGACACTTTACTAACAATGTTATTAGTGTACCAGGGCTGGAAAAATAAAGACAAAAATTGAGTATTTGAAATTTAAATGGAATGAAATTCAATATTGAAAATCAAAATTATTTTTGAATAATCAATTCATTTTTGTTTTTCACATTGACTGACTTACACTGAATCATTTTCAGTTAGGGTGATCAAGCTGTACACCCTAAAATCCACCTACCATACAAGAGATCTTTAAGATTAGGTTCTTGAATGATGTTTTTTCCCACAGCTACAGAGGGAAGGGACTTTGCAAGAAATGTTGATGTGTAAGGAAAAAAAGAGGAATGGTCATGGAAAAGGAGAGACCAAAGTTATCTACACACTGCACAACTGCAATAGACTCTACCAGGAAATTCAACAGTGTGTCCTAGAATCAAGCACAAAGAAGGATCAACTGTGGCAGGGAGAGGATGGAAACAAAAGCTCACTGCATGCCTAGCAGAAGGAAAACATGGAGACCTATGGACAGGAGGAGAGAAAAGAGTACACCCTGAAGGGAAGGTGTCCTAAAAATGCAATATCCTGTACGACTTTCTTACCTAAAAAGTCAAGCTTTGTGAAGCCAGAAATTCTGCATCTCTCTTTGAGGTTTAAAGATGGTTTTGGTTATAAAACAGGAAGCACAAGTTTGTTTGTCCAGGCATAATATTCTCAACAGAGATCATAAGAACCTTAAAGCAACTGGCTACTAGTGAAATTAGCTTCAGTATTTTTTAAGAAAAGAACCTGTTCAGTAAAATTCAGTTGAAAAATAAATATGCGCCCATTTATGGTTGGAGATGTTTTCTGAAAAGCAGAGTCCAATTTCAGCCAGGGCTGCTGATAGAAAAGATCACAGCTTACAGCAATATTTCACAGGAACACATGGATTCCTAATTATTTTTTTTCTGACATACACAAAAACCATTCTCTTCTTTTAGCCACTTAGTAAAACAATCATACTATTCGTGTATTTGGGAACTTTTATATACATCTTAATTAGATCTTGCAATATCAACATTTAATTTTAAAGGCCCAAAGTAATGACACATGCTCACATATATCTGAAGCATACCTTCTTCTTGAAGACAGGGGTGAAAGCTTCAGAGCAATATAAATATTCCTGTCTCAAAAGACTGAGCAGGCTGTTGTCAGAAAAATCAGTCCTTTCATTTTAAAAATTGATGGTGTCAATGGCTCAAAAGCTTTCCCACCACTTACCTCATTGCAACGTTGTAAGACTCTGGATGAATGCAAGTTTGGTCCAAAGGATTGGGCTGCTGTGAGGCACATGATGGTAGTTTACTCTTCTTTTTACCCAGTGCACCTGCTTTAGTCAAAAGTGCACGACTTCCAAGTTCATTTTTCTTATTACTGCCAGAAATCAAAAATGGACATGTCACTTTCAATGAAGATGATCCTGGTCCGGTGTCCACACACAAAACCAATATATTTTTTTCCCTGAAGTCCTCAAACAAAAAAATGTATCAGAACATCAAATTACTCCTACTGTAAACGCTCCTTTCACTCCTCTTTCTTTTTTTTCCTAAATCACAAGTGGCTCCTGCTTTTGGAGGACAAAAGAGAATGCATTGAAGGACCTGAAACTAGCTAGCAGTGGTGTTTTGGGCTCCACTCATCACCTCCTGGCAGAAAGGCAAACATATTTTCCTCTTTCCATGTCAATTTTTAAAATAACCATAAAAGACCTTCACATAAAAGGCACAAAAATTGTTTCATACAGCAATCTAAAGTCAAATTGATTAGAAAGGATAAAAATGAAACATCAAAGTTATTTTCAAAAGCTTCTGGTTATGTCACCTGGACTCACAAGAAGTGTTGTGGAGGCAGTGCTGTTAGAGCTTTACTTTGGCCTTAAAATCTATTTCTCAGGTTATACACCGTTCCAAAGTTATGAAGAATCTGATTAACATCAGAACTGTGTTCCAGGAAGGTTAAAAAACTCCCAAAACAATGTTCACATTTCACCAATGAACATTTGGAGGGGGGAAAAAGCCATCAACCTTTTTTCATTGGTTGTATTGCAAACTAGAGAACCTAGAACAGATCTCTACAAGGTAGGGCCTATCAATCATAGAGAGCTTTGGAAGCAATTTCTTTGGTCTTCTGGTGCTTACAGCGAGCACCATTTGGCCTGCAGCCTATGCCTCCCTGCCAGATGGGCAACCAATCTGTACACCTTCCACCTGGGCAGAAAGCCAGTCCCCATGTGCCCACGTCCTGCCTGGAAGTTACGCGTGTGCTGTTCGGCCAGCAGCAACTGGGAATACAGCATTGCTTCTGAGCACTGCCCCTGGCTAAAACATAGTGTCTGCTTCCCAGGAAAATATTTTTTTTGAGAAAAGCCAATGGGGATGGAGCTACTGCCATGCCCTTTCTTAGTTCTTTAGTTTGGAAAGAGAAATGAGAAAAGGCAGGAGAAGAGACATTGTGCTAGAAAGGGCATTTCCAGTTGTAGAAAGGTCAAGAGGAGCACTATGAATGGCTGAAAGAGTAGAAGACTTGGTACAGAATCAGGGAATGAGATGACAGAAGAGGATGATGCACTGTTGACAAACTGGACTTGGGGAAAGGCCTCACAGGAGCCTTTCCAAAGGTTTTGTATTTCAGACAGAAGACAGTCACATCAAACTTGCTAGGCACAGGAGTATAATACAGACACAGTTTAATCTAGGCAGATACTCAACTTCCTCTCTCCAGCTAATGAAATTGAAACTCCAAAAATCTGCACTAGTTTACTACCATTAAGTTCTGCAGAATAATCTTTACCATATTCAATTAGTTAATTTACAGTTCTCTGTATTATGTCTGAAAAACAAGACTAAAGTTTTAACATCTCAGATCACAACACTGCTGCACGACAAACTTTTTTTACCAATTCAGAGGCAAAATTTTTACTTTAACTTACATATTTATCAAAAACTGACTTAGAGGACTAGGCTAACAAGCCATGACAATTTAGGAGAAAAACTATCTTCAACCATGGACTTTAACAAGTTAATTTGTTGTCCTTCAGAGCACAGAGCACCCAGTGGTCCAGGATTCCTTGAGTGTCAAGCATGAATACAAAGCAGAAAAGGGAGAAGGAGTCTTCTTATTCTATTTTAGACAATTTATTCAGAACAGTTAAAATCTCTATTACCTGCAAAAAGTCTTTATATATTCTTGATTGAATCTGATGAAGCCAGCACATTGTTGGAAGGTTTTGGGACCCAAACCTTTAACTTCTTTGAGCTGTTCTCGGTTTATAAATGGTCCGTTCTTCTCTCGCCATTCAATTATATTTTTAGCCCTGTTAGTATTCAGTCCTGCAATGTGTCTAAGAGAAAATTTACAAAAAACTTTTATTACCATTGAACAGTCATTATTGCAAGTGCTACCCGTTACAAGGATACACATTCCTATAGAAAATCTGGTTTATAAAACTTCAAAACTGCTAAGAAATTAGCAAATAGACTCCCAGACCAAAGGCACTGTCTGAAAAGGATCTTAGTTCTGTGGAAAGAACCCACTCAAGTCAAGCAAACTCAGTGCAGCAATCTAGTTCCGTACATGCCTAACTAGTAAGCCAGGGCTGTGTAATTTATGATCTGTTGGCTATTTCCGTAATGCCAGTTCAATTTGTCATGTCTTATGGCCTGCCCCCAGCTGCCCTCTTCAGGAAACAGCGTGGGAGGAGGGTTCAGAATAGATAAATCGTTCCTGTAAGAACAGCCTCCTCTCAGCCCTTCCAACGGTACTGAAACACCTTGCCTTGCACATGAAGGGCTCAGGTCTGCTACCCAGAAGGAGAGTGGCTGGGAGCAGCTTGCCTTCCTCAAGCAGTTGAAGTGATCCACAAAGCTTGTTTCTTTTCTCTGAGCTCTTCCTGAAATAAAAAGCAGCTGGGAACAGGCTGCATGACTTGTTCTGAGGGCAACTTGGACCTGGCCAAGAGCTTACCTGTGAACTGCAACAGTGGTTAGTGAGGCTCCTTCAGGAAGCTGTGGGTTTGCAGCACATTTTCTGTATGTACATGTGAGTAAAACTTTCTCTGTGTGGAGTATGTTAATTGTAAAAAGAGAGAGAAGAGCTCTCATGTGGAGTTACTCACGGCACCAGTGAAGGAAATGTCACCCACTAGGCTTTATCTATCTGATGCCTTTGTTTTAAGTCAGCAGCAGCAGTGACCTGTTTGTGGAATGGCATGAACTGATTCCAAAAAACACTACCAGCAAAACCAGCAAGAGTCATAAAATGTCAGGGGGAAAAAAGAAAAAAATATTTCCATATTCTCATGCTCAAGCAAAAGTTAAAAAAATAGTCCGAAGTTGATGAAAGCTCAGAATGAAATTAGAGGGACACACCTTTAACCACAGACAGAATATTAATCATTAGGAATGGAATTTTCTTCAAAAATTTCTTAGAAACATTGAGAAATCCAGCTTGTTTATACTGACAAAGGAACATTACACAGTATTGACAGAATGGACAGAATTTTCCACTGATGATCTCAAGTCTTTCAAGCACAATACTCAGCAGATTAATGCAAATACTGCAGCACTGTCATCCCCTCCCTGTGTACTATGTGTGAAGAAGTGTATTTGATGCATCAGAAACCACAAACAGAAAGCTCTGCTCCAGCTGCAATCTAGCTAGGGTGACAATCTGATAAACTGGATGTCTGAAGGAAACTTAAGACTGCATCTGCACAGAACAGCAGACTTGAACAATTGTAAGCCAGGCTAATTAGACCACACAAAATACTTACACAATGTGGTTACCACCTGCAGCCCTGTCTGGACAGGGTTACCCCACATTCAGTTTTGTGTGGGCACAGCAGCATCTCAGGCTGATGCTTCCTGCTGAAGTGGACAGTACAACTGTTCCTTCAGACGCAGCTCATTCTATGATTCTATTCTGTTGATTCTATGAATGAAAGCTTCATTTGTCATTTAGGTACCTTGGTACCTTCCACTTGCTTTCTTCCTAAAAGCTGATCTAAATCCAAAAGCATGTAAGACAGAAGAAATCAGGCACTGGGCAGGGGGGCTGGACATGCAGAGAAAGAACATGGAAGTGGAAAACCGAAAAGAATAGAAAGAGAGTCTCTTACAAAATACGGAAATATGTTTTTGAGAAAGATTCTAAGGGGCTAAAAAACAAAAATATCAAGAATGTATTTTTCCTAACTTTCACATCCAATATAATTTTCATTATTGATTATTGACAGTAATATTAGGGAAGAAGAATATGGACAGAACATTATGAACTTTCTTTTCCTTCCCCTCCTACTATGGAGGATGAAAGCAGCACTTTTACTCTTCTGAGAGTCTAAACAATACTGAATTCTACACATTCAAGAGAGAATGAGCTTTTAGCTTCTAACCCTGAAAAATAAAGTCGAGAACATTCTTCAAATAAACATGGCATAACTACTTAATAAAAAAACAAACAGTAAAAAGGGATACATTTTTCAAGTTTCCCCTTAAACCTTTCCTTGTCTCCTTTTCTTGCCCAAGTTTTACAACCTGTTCCACTTAGAAGTACCTATAAAAATACCTTCTAAGAGACAAAGTACATTTGAAAATACCTTTCTCCATGTAAAAATATGTATTACTTATATCACATTTTTCTAAAATTGCAGTGTTGGCTAAAAATTTTTAAATATCTGTTTTTCTCTGAAGCATAGTTTTACCTTGGAGAATCACACGTATCCTTAAAACCTGACTCTTAATGATTCAGTGAAATACTGTCTTACTGTGTCATTTTTATGTAATTGGAAGTTTAACACAAGAGCCATTTGCTCCAGCTGAGCTTGAGTCAGATGGCAGACTAAACAGAGACTCTGTGATCCAGAGCCATGTAATTACTGGAATAGGAAAATGTTTCACTCACCTTAATAGTATTTCTGAGCAGATGTTAATATCAACTCCTACAAAGCTGACACACTCTTCAACCACACTGTCCAGAGTTGCTTTGAGCAAAGTCTGTGATACATCATGCTAAGAAACAAAAATAGAGATATCTGGTTACCGAAGTATTGAAGTGTACATAAACAGGAACTGCATATAGCACTAACATCAATAAAATAGCTGCTGGAACTTAATATCTTATGTGAAGAAACCAGTTAAAAATATAAATTGTAAAATACATTTTTTAAAATGCCCCCAATATCTCTTTGAAACATCTTTGCTGTGAAACAAATCTCTATAATAAAGACACACTTCACATCCCGGTATTGCTTTTTAAAAACCATTTCCCTGCATCCTGTAAAAGTAAAACTTTACTTAAAACATGATTACTCAAAAGGAGTAATGCTTCTGGTCTATCCACTAGGTGTTGTCTTTAATCTGACATACCTATACAATCAGTTTATTAAAAATAAAGTAGAGAAGAGATCACAAATGCTGTACTTTTGCACCAGTACACACAGATATCTGCAAAATAGTCCCATTTAGGAGCATCATACTACAGCAGAGTTATTATTTACTAAATGAAAAAGCCATGCACTGTATGAAGGTGGGCAATACATAAGGTACTTATCAACCCCATGGCAACAAAATGTTTCAAATTTTGAAGAGATATTTCTGGGAAGATTGGCAGGTCCTTGACCAAAGCACCACTAATGGAAATGTTCACAGTGTTTCCCCCTTTTCCCCCTAAAACAAAAATCAGTCACACTTGTCAAAGTTAAAAGTTCTCAAGCTCTAAGATTTCTTTTCCTCCCAAATGCAGGCATACTTTAGCCTGTAACTGCGAGCTCCCCACACAAGCCCATCAGTGCTTAGAAGTCTGACCTGGAGGGAGAAGCCTCTCTAAATGCAGGAGCTAATTCAATCACTATGTTGGCTTAGCTTCAGGGCTCTTCTGCATCACTCATGTAAATCTGGGTTGATCTGTTGTGGTTTCACGATGCATTCATTTAGGACATCAAGCTGGATCCAAGCCAAAGCGCCAAACACTTCATCCATTACTTTGTTTTACGTTCTAAGCCATTCAGATCTTTTAAAGATTTCACGGTTAAATTTAATATGCCAATAGCATCAATCCCAATCTACTAACGCTGGTAGTTCATTAAGCAGTGGTTAATAACTGGAGCAGTTGTAAAACTTCAGGCAATTCATTTCATAGCTCCCTATTTCAGGTGATGGTAATGGGATGCATTTTCATGATGTGATATAGAATAAAGTAACTTACAAACACAAAGTTTGTATTTTGCCAATATGACTCTTCCTATATTAATTTTGCATGCAAAAACACTGTGTACATGCACAAGCACTGGTATTTGCACACATCCTTCGTCTCATAACCACAAAGCTTGCTTGTACACTTGGCAGATCAAACATCAGTTTCTACTTACTAATGCATTGCTACTGCAACATAACAGCTTCTTTTTGAATAAAAAGACAAACAAAAAATCCCACACCATCAAAAGAAGTCTTTTGTTTCCTTATGTTGCATTTTTCTGACTTACTGAAGATGTAGCTTTTCTTAATGAGGAA